CTTAGTAAAATGAATAAAGTGAACACGAGTTAAAAAAATAACAATTATACTTGCTATTTGCAAGCAGAAAGGAGGTCGGGCAGAAAAGATCGCATGCGTTTTTTTCGAAAGTATTCTCGCCAAGAAATCCCGAAGATGTCATCGCAGAGGCCATAAAATCGACCTTTTCGTCTGTGTAAGTGAACAGCGGGGGGTCTGATCCGTACTTTGGGTCCTCAAACTACCGATTCTCGGCTAACTATCACTGGGGCCCTTCGAAGTCTCCGACTTTTACATGCTTTTAGTATATGCTGTAGGGTACAGTCTACGGCACTGGTACACCCGGCCGTAGGCTCGAAAAATACGGAAACGCAGCGCATCGCATCGCATCGCATCGCACGCTCTGTGAGGATCGACCATTAAGGTCTTCTCAATCTCTCTTTTTTTATATCGTTTTATATCGCGTCGCGGCATTTGCGCTACTCTGCGAAGCGATTGCGGTACGAATTTTGTTGGAGCGGATAAAGAATTGCGTCGCTTGCTTACATTAGCTAGAGAAGAAATGCGAACGATTACGACCACTCTAACGGATATGGGGACGCGTTGGACTTTCAATCCCTCTGCCGCATCGCACTTTGGTGAGCTCTGGGAGTCAGCTGTCAAATCGACCAAGCATCATCTTCGCCATGTCATCGAAGACACGCTTCTCACTTTGGAGGAAATGTACACCTTGCTCGCTCAAGTAAAGGCTTGCTTGAATTCGCGTCCGTTGACTCCACTTACCGATGATGTATCGGACTGTACTGCTCTGACCCCCGCGCATTTTCTAACCGGCTCTTCTCTAGCCGCTGTTCCCGAGCCTACGCTTACCGATGTAAGTGTCTCACGTCTAAAGCGTTGGCAATGCGTGCAGCGAATGCGGGATCATTTCTGGCAGCGATGATCCCACGAATATTTGCAGACTTTACAGCGTCGGTCTAAATGGACGATTCAAAAAACGGATATTACGCCCGGTGAGCTGTGCTTAGTATTGCACGAACATACTCCACCAACTCGGTGGCCACTTGGTCATGCTGGACCAGGTTCATGCTGGACCAGACGGGAGAATTCGTGTAGTTACGGTGCGAACGGCCAAAAATGTTATAACGCGACCTATCGTAAAGATATGTCCCTTTCCCTCCTCGTCCGACTGAGATATTAAACTTAGAATTAAAACTAAAAATTCCGTTCGTTGTTGGGACCAACGAAGGCGGGCGGAATGTTGCGAATCTAACGAGGCGCGTCACCGCGCGTGAGAGTGAGAGAGAGTCTGATTTGCGCAGGTTGTTGGCCTACCGTCAAATTTCAACTATCACAGCTGATCGGCGCTCACCTCTCCCACTCTTCCTCACTCTTCTTTCATATAGCTGCTATCGAAACGGTCTAGCTCATGATGTAAAAACATAAGGTGTGTTCTTGCGCATCCATTTGAACAACTATATA